TTCTTAATCTAAAATTGCCATAAGTTAAAATGCCTGTAAACTAGTTTTATGACATCCGAAACTTGTTTGCTGTTTGTTCAATCCTAAGTGTCTCCATTCTGTAGTTGTCTTGGACGCAAAACAATTAATGGAATGTTTAACTCAAAAAGTTTTGATTATGTTATGGACTAATTATTTATATCTGTTCTAACTTGACACTGTCCAGTAATCATATCTCATGATAACTAGTTTTGGCTGTTTTAATCTATCGGCCCAGACTTCAAGACTCCAGCAATGCATGACCTCTTTTATGTTGATAAGGTGTTTCCGGGCTGACAGCCGTTATTGGTTAGGTGGTTACAGTAGGTGAACTGTGATTGGTTGTAAGCATGTCACAGGATGTTATATTATCGGCTGCTCTGCGCTGACGAGCCAGCCACAACTTGACAGATTTCGCTGATTGACTTCTGCTCTGTTGTTGCTCAAATTAAATCATTTGACGAGCATACACGCAGACTTTCTGTGCATTTATTCCAATGTGTTTCTGCATTCTTGGTAAATAGTGCCAACACAATTTTTGGCGTTGTCTGAAGGCAGCTCCAAGGACCGGAGTTTGCCCGCAGCGATCAACTTTTTTCGGAACGACTACTGGACAATGGGAAAAGAAGGTTTTTTCTGAGAAAGCTGAGCTGTCTTCCTCTGCTGATCGTGTCCGGGTTGTGATCTGTCCTTACTTCGGCCGCTGTGGGTGACCTTTGGGACTGGAGCTGAAAAGAACCTGTCTGTGACAGAAACACGGTGAGCTAATAGTTTCAGTAGCACCTTATGCTAAAAGCTACGGCTATTTTCGGCCCACCACACGCTGAAATTTTAATTGTTAGACGCTCGTCTGGTCACTTCTGCGGTTGTTGATTTTAGCCGAGGTAGATTTTGGGAGTGTTTTATTCCAAATCGAGTCAAAACAGGGAGCTTAGCTTTCTGTTTTGAAGTAGCCAAGAGGACATTGTTTGTCTTGGTGAGTGTAGGCAGTTTAGATATGATTAAACTGCTGAGGGAAAATGTAATTTTCCGTTTTTGTTTCTGTTGAGGAGACACAGTAGGCTAAAAGTCATTTTAAAAGGCGGCCTCCCGACTTTCTTTATGAGAAAGTTGTATATGGTAGTGCACTGCGCACGAGTTCGGCCAAAGAATGCGACCAGCGGGTCTTTGAGCACAGGCGATGGTAAATAAATACGGCGTTGGAAGCCGTGAAAGTGTCTGCGGGTATGGAGTTGATAAATTCGCTTTCACGGACGGTGGCAGATTTAGTCTTAGCTCAGCCGCTTAAAATCAAGAAGAATGATAAAAGGTTGTTTTGAAACATTTTTAAATAACATGTTTTAGTCTCTTTGTTTTCCGGGCTATTAAATGGAGCGGATTGGGGGTTTCCTGTTTCNGCCACATGCACGGAAAACGCTCTGCTACATCCTACCGCTACGTTGCGTGCTGCGGTAAACTGGCAAAGTGCACTGTGCTGCTCCTGTACGTACGTCCACCATAGACTTTGCACGTAAATYGGCTGCTTTGGCTGCTCAAAACTTGTCCTGTGTGTACCCGGCTTTAGACCAGAAAATCTGAAGGAATTTTTTAATTGAAGAACAAAATTAAATCATGAAACATCATGTCAGATCAAATTCAGTTTATGACTTCTGAGCTCAGGAATGCCTCAGAATTAATCTCAAAAGTAAAAAAAGCAATGTGTTCTAAATGAACACTTCAATTTTTTTTTWAATTATAAGGGAACAGGAAGTGAAGGATTTGATGCCAAATAAAATTCATTCTGTGGTAAAGTTAATTTTAGGAACGATCAACTCACTTTAGAAAGTAGTAGTGTTAAACACAAAGAGCATCATATCAATCTAAAGCAAGTTTGTGGTTTTCTGATGGTGGTGGGAGTGTGTGGCTGTGTCTCAATTCATGACCACGTGGGCCAAGTCCTCGCTGGGCTGGGTAGGCTGCTGAAAACTGCTGTGAAATGAGACGGTCTACACTTTGTTTGAAGTCGGCTTCATGTGGCTATGTGTGACCACGTGCTCTCCTGTTACCATAGTGATCAGTTTCATATCAGACTCAAAATGAGTCAGAACGTGTATTTACACATCTTTTTACTGGAAGAAGAACTTTGCAGTTAAAACGTTTATCGTAAATAAATAAACATTAATAATTCAAGTTTAGCTCCAGTAAATACAACGGAATATTAGGGCCACACAGATTTTTTTATTATTGTTATGAAAATAAAGTCATAATACAGGATAAAAAGTCACAATCTTACATGGCGTGTCCATTTTCCTTTCATTTCCTCCTTATTTTCCTCACACCTGCTGTGTACAGCCATGTGTGTCTGTATTTAGAAAGAAGTCCGTGATGACTTGGGTCACTGTTAATTATTATGCTTTAATCCAAATTAGCTAAGTGACGACTAAATCTATCAGTGCATCCATTAATTTCAATACGGCTTCAGTTTATCATACAGTCGTTTGCACAATTTCCAAGTCCTGCTACTGATAATTTGATACTAATGTGTTAAAAGATTAACTATTTATTTTAAGCAAAACTAAAAAAACAGCTTGAAAAGTTGCTCAACATCCTCATTTTAATGCAGTGATAACTGCAGGCTTTTTCATGTAAAGGCAAGAATATTATGACTTTTTCTTGTAACATTATGACTTTAATCCTGTAATATTATGATTTTATTCTCGTAAAATTAC